CTCGGATGATTCCTTTTTCAAATATTGTTGTTGATTGAATTGATTTGAGATTAGAATTTGTTTGAAGTGGGTAATGGTAGCATGTGGTTAGTGATGGCTATGGCGGTGGCGAAAGTGTGGGGCGGTGACATTGACAATGAAAGTGGTAATATGATGGCAGCTCCTTGTATATAAGATGGAAAGAAAGGGTATTTTAGGATTTTTGTACTTGTCATCCATCTTATCTGTTTATTTGGTCTAGTGAGAACTTTGAGAGGGCACATTGTTTAAATTGAAATCTAAGGGAGTTGATTGCAACATGAACCAAACTTTGAGGGGACATTTTGTAATTAACTCTTGATTTTAATAAGTAGGCACCACAATGAGTCTTGTTCCAAAGGAAATCTCTAAAGCTATTTCTCAATCAAAGCCTCATTCTTTTTTAACAAATTATCAATTGAAAGGTCACCCTTAGCCTTTGATCTAGGCACAGCCTCCCATGAAATTAAATGATACTTGCTACATTTCCCCGATTCCTCCCATAACAAATCTCTTATAAAACTTTCAATTTTTCTAGCAAACAACCTCGGTAATCTAAAAAAAGACATGTAGTATATAGGAATAAAAGTTAAAACAGATTGGACCAAAGTAAGCCTACCTCCCCTAAAAATGAAGGTTTTTTTTCACCCATCTAACATTTTCTCAACTCTCACAACAACTGGATCCCAAAAAGACCCAAACATCGGATTACCTCCCAATGGGAGCCCAAGAGACTTCAAAGGCCATTCACCCACCGAACTACCCAAATCACAAGTGACAAGCCACTCGTTCGATCTTGTCCTGCCTATAATTAATGCCCAAAACAAGTAGCAGTATCATGCGGTGAAGTATTACAATTTCAGTTTTGGGGAATAATTAATGTTTCCTACACAGAAAGTCATTCCACATCCAACCCTCCAAATAAATTTAGACTTTATCGTGTGACCTTAAGATTTAAATTTTCAAAAAATCTCTTTTCTTTGCATTTCTGATTACTAATAGATATTATGCAATTAACATAGGAATAAGTTACGCAAAGCTTACACATTAACGCCAAAGGCTCATAACCCACAACGTAGGGGGAAAAGCATCGCTTTACTCTAGCAACTAATAACTGTAATGAGATACATATTGTGTCAATTGTAACCCGAGTATTTAAAGTACTTAACCAATATAACAACATACACATATGTACCACATACAGGAAATCAGGCAACACATTGATGTGCAAGTTATACAGCTATACACAGCTTGACAATGTCATGTCGAGTAATGCTACATAGACTTAAAAAGTAGACTTAAAAACTAGACTTGATAATTTCAACCATTGATTTNTAGCTATACACAGCTTGACAATGTCATGTCGAGTAATGCTACATGAACTTAAAAAGTAGATTTAAAAACTAGACTTGATAATTTCAACCATTGATTTCACTGTGGATCCCAGCATTTATCAGGACCCACTACCTATTCAATGGTTGAAATTATCAAGTCTAGTTTTTAAGTTCATGTAGCATTACTTATGTCAAAATATTCCTGAACTCTTCCCATTTGCCCAAAGAGGAGGGGAAAAAAGGAAAAAAAAAAAAAAACATATATATTAGTCAGAAAAAAGAATGACAGAACTGAACTCTCAGAACTAAGTGCAGGCATCTACCATTTCACCNAAAAAAAAAAACATATATATTAGTCAGAAAAAAGAATGACAGAACTGAACTCTCAGAACTAAGTGCAGGCATCTACCATTTCACCTTTAGAAAAGTGGCACATAAACTCAAGTATTCAATCAACCATCAATCAAGGTAAATACTAGAGACTGAATACATCTTACTTTACAAATGCACAATTTTGTTAAGGTAACATTGTGCACAATAAATGTCAAAATATGGATACAGACCTTGAGAGGAGGAAAATGGGTAGGTTCTGAAGGTTTTGAAATATCCCATATACAGATTTCACCTTCATCAGCCCCAGAAGCAAGATGGTTTGGCGAAAGAGAACTAAATTCCAGATCTCGAACCTGGAAAAAAAACAAAAACATATGACATGGATGCAGCAACGTCATGCACTCATGCTATAATAAGATGAAAGGGAAAGGAGACATCAGAAAAAAGAAGCATTAGATGGTGGATAGGTAACTTACTGGCCCTCTATGCCTCGAAAGATATTCTATAAGAGCACTTTCACTTGCCTCGGACCTGAAAGTTTTATGTGATCTATGGTCAAGCTTATACGTATTTAAGTCTCAAAGTGAGGCCTACTATACATTGTCTTTCAAAGGTTAAATTATGGGTTGGAAAACTATTCCACCTTTTCTTATGTCTGAGTCTTATCGAAATACAATAATCTAGGAAGTAAGCTATGCATAAGATCACAACAAAAAAAATTTTAAGTCCTCTCTCCTCATTTGAACAAAGTGATCAATTCCACAACTACTACAAGTCACGCCTAGATTAACAGAAATAATCCGTGCCCAACTCATCNGCATAAGATCACAACAAAAAAAATTTTAAGTCCTCTCTCCTCATTTGAACAAAGTGATCAATTCCACAACTACTACAAGTCACGCCTAGATTAACAGAAATAATCCGTGCCCAACTCATCTAATAATAGCTTTCTAATTCTCGGTACCAGATTTGTTGATTGTAGAGTTTGAGGGGAAAAAATTGTTGAATTTACANTCTAATAATAGCTTTCTAATTCTCGGTACCAGATTTGTTGATTGTAGAGTTTGAGGTGAAAAAATTGTTGAATCTATANTAGATTAACAGAAATAATCCGTGCCCAACTCATCTAATAATAGCTTTCTAATTCTCGGTACCAGATTTGTTGATTGTAGAGTTTGAGGGGAAAAAATTGTTGAATCTATACAATTTTGGAATGGGACAAGTATGTCCCTTTAATATTAATCTTCCTTAACAAAATACTTCTGCAAAAGAGAACTCTAATTGTATACTTTTATGATTTTGATAACATCAGTATGCTCAAACAGATTGACTGAAAATTTTAACACTGGAAATGATTATAAATTTGTAATATAACACAAATCACAATTGTTACCATTTTTTGGAGACAAGTTTTTTTAACAAAAATCATATTAGGCACCTATGAATTTGTTTTCATATTATTTCCTATTACTTTTCTAATTATAACCCCATTGTGGTAGTGAAATCAAATAAAAACTCACATATTTGCAAATGAGAAAGGCCACATTATGGACCATTACACCATAAAAACAACTTCAATAAAGGAAAATCAGATTTGCAGAACAAAATTTAGAAAGATCCATTTTCAATTGAAATGCATCGATAAAGTAGTAAAAGAGAGCATACACAATTGATTTCTATTTCGTAAAATGACATTAAAATCCCATCAGTTTATACCACCGACTAACACCCCAATTTTTTTACCTGTCTTTGAATATCATCCAATTAATTCACCTCAAAATTCATAAAAAATAAAATCAAACTTTGTTATTCTAGAACAAAACAATGTACGCACTGAAATTCATCAATTCGATACACAACACTATCAAATCATAAGCAAAATCCAACAATTCAATTCCAAAAACAGTACCAAATTAGAGCATTCAGGGTTCCAAATCTCAATGTTACCATCAACCAATCCAAAAGCAATAAGACTCGGAGAGAACTCCCCCGAATTTGTCGGATATTTCCCCAAGACATTCGATTGAAACTCTCAGAGCTGGTCNACAACACTATCAAATCATAAGCAAAATCCAACAATTCAATTCCAAAAACAGTACCAGATTAGAGCATTCGGGGTTCCAAATCTCAATGTTACCATCAACCAATCCAAAAGCAATAAGACCCAGAGAGAACTCCCCCGAATTTGTCGGATATTTCCCCAAGACATTCGATTGAAACTCTCAGAGCTAGGCTCCGAACCGGCCAAAGGCAGCTGATGCTCGACGGAGGTGAAATCAAGCTTGAAGATGTCAAGATTCGCCGACGAACTGAATTTCAATATATAAAAAATATTATAATATAACTTTCTGTTACTTAACAAAATGAGCAACAAAATGACACATTATAATACTNTGTCAAGATTCGCCGACGAACTGAATTTCAATATATAAAAAATATTATAATATAACCTTATGTTACTTAACAAAATGAGCAACAAAATGACACATTATAATACTTTTAATACATGAAAAATATAATTTCTAAAATTTTAAGTTTTGAAAGTATTATAAAGTAACAAAATTTTAATTTTTCTATATACAATGTATAGTTTGCCCTCCAATCTTTAATAAACTCTTTATTTGGACTAATTTGACTCTTTATATTTTGATAGTCAAACTATGTACTTTATATTATTATTATTGATTATAAAAATCATTTCTTTATTAAAATATATACTCTCTAAAATAAGGATCATTACTATATATGGTCATTCTAAAGACTATATGAACATTTTTTATTAAATGTTATTGATTATCAAGTCATTGGACTGTGCAACTAGTTTCAATTAACTCCATGCATCAAAATTCATGAGGAACTATTATGAACAAACATCGTGTGAATATTACATGCCTCAATCACATGCATAGTTTTGACCAAATTAACTTAAACATGAGTCAAATTTATAAAATATGAACCAATACATTCAATTGAAATAATAAAATCTAAATAAAATGAATCAACAAGCATCATTTTAATGCATATGCTGTAACTATAGAGTTAGCATATTCAAAATTAATCCCATAACTGAATCAAGTTATGTTTATCGGACTCTTTTTCTCTAGAATTACTTACAAATTTAAGCTGGGGGACTTAATTGAAATAGAACTTGAAGTTTAAGGACTTGTTTTTTTTAAATTGATAGTTTAGAGACCAAATAGAAAATAAATGTAAACTTTGAGGATATAAATATAATTTACAGTTAATTTAGCTGCAGATAAAATTGATAAAACCGAAATCCGGGGGTCGAAGCCAAAATTTTCCAACGGCTCCCTGCCCATACGCAGAAACAAATCTCTCTCTCTTTCTCTCTCTCTCCTGTGAGAAAATCATAAGTTTGTTAAGCCAACGATGATGGTGAGGACATTGTCGAAATCATTTCGATCCTTAAAACCCCATAGCCCTAATACGAATCTGAACTCGAAAATACCAAAATCTCTTTCTTCAAATCGACAATTATCACCACCACCACCACCATCATCGTTGTCATCTTCATCGTCAAATAGCTCAACAAAGCGTCCTTGGTCTGTATATCTCATCCTTTCCACCAACATCCCCATCAAAACTTACGTCGGCGTCACCACCAATGTCTCTCGCCGGTATAAGCCTCTCTCTCTCTCTATATACATTTATATACATATATATGTATATATTTATCGATCTATCTCTCCTAACGGGTATAATTACTTATACATACACATAGAAATTCCACATATGGGGTAGATCAATGCAATTTTGTAAGTGAAGTGAAAATTTGATGTTGGGTGTAGAATTAAATGAATAATCCTGTAAACAATTATGCTATTTTCCATTTAGGTTGCTTTTATTACGATGGCTATCTCGAAAATTTTGTATATGAACATAGGTTGTTGTCTTGCACGTTGCTTAGCCCAGAAAAAGAATTATCTGGCGACCCAGTTATGCTTTCTCATGTTGATGTTGGAAGAAATTACATCAACGTTATCAGAGCAATCCTACTTGGACCAAAAATGTCGGCTTAATCAATCATTGCCATTATATTGACTATAGGTCCCAGCCTCCCACCAGTGATTGGGACCTGCGGCCCATTCAATCACTATGATTCATTAGGTTAGCAAATTAGGTCAAAATTTAGGCCTAAATTATCTTTCATACTCTCTCTCTAACTGTTGATTTACATCAGCTATCTGAATTCTTTGATGACTTGATCTTTTAAAACAGCATTATCTTATGTCTTAACTTTGACAGTATCCAGGGGTTGATTGTTGTATGGATTTTGTGAAAAAGTAGGATCTTTTGCCAGACCAAACTGGCATAGGACAAATGTCAAAAACACTATACTTTTACTAGAAGTCCATGAGAAATGCTGATTCGGAGCAACGCTAGAAAACTATGAATGCTGCCTTCAATACTTGAATTCTAGGTGAACTTAGGTTCTTTAGACCTCATGACTTTAGGGTTTAGATGTGGGAAGAAAGGTTTGAATTGGCTTGATGTTCGGTGTGTGGATTGCTGAATTTCAGATGAGTGCTGGTAAACCTTATGGATAGTTGTCTTTCCATGTTAGTAGAGTATGAGAGATGGGTTGTACAGTAAAGGAGGGAGTTATGATTTTAGAAGTAAGCCTCGTTACTTGTGGTTCAAGCAGTGTTTTTCCCGCACAGAATTAAGATAAAGGAGGAAATCATAACCCAAAGGCATCATACACATTCATACCTTTGACGACATATATAGATACCAGATAACACATACACTAAAAAATAGCACCCCTATGTCACTACTAAGGCCCAATGTACGAAAAACCTTAAATTTAACAGAATGCCCTTAACTGGAGACTCATAAGAAAACATATAATTAGATTGTGATTTTGGCATGTTAACTTAATGAAAATCTAGAATCAGGCCATACTCAAGCTAAAGCTGGCTATGCAAGGTTGCAAGTTGGTGTTACTTTGGATTGGAACCAGTACGCAGAATTTCGTTTGTTATAAGTGTTCTTTCTTGAGGACTTTTGTGATTTTTTCCCCTTTCTGTTAAGTACTTACTTTATTTTCTAGACTTTCACCTTGCCATTATCAATTAAAGTAACTAAAGACCCTATCTATCCTTCCTTGTTCTTATCTTCTATATGTAGTAATTCACCTGTAAATATCAATGGAAGCTTCGTAGTTATTTTTTGAGTCTTTTATCAATTTAGGCCTGCATCACTATGTTGCTGAATCTGTAAATTTCTTTGATAAACCGAAATTATATGTTACTCATGGAACAACTATTACATTATTTTGTCATCATAATACCATGCTTGGGGTTTTCTCAATGCTTGGTTGTACCATGCTTTGTTTTCATGCAAATTTGGCTGGAGAGTTGACTTTCCATCTTAATTGAAAGTTTTCTGAACATAATTGAAAGATTAAGAATCTCTCATTCCTCATCTAGGCAAGTCATAGAAACTCCTGATTCAAACTGGTTTATAAAATATCACAGTGCAGCACTGATGAGATTTTTTATGATACAATTTGCATTGATGTAATGTTTTCGGTATCTCCAACCTTGCCAGGTTTTGTTTCATTTCTGCAATACTTTGTTGTCTGATCATCCTATCACTGCCTTCAACGTATATTCTTGTAATGTCACGTAAAGCGTGTGTTATACTGTTATGATTATCTTTTCTGTTGTAATATTATGCTTGTTTAGGTTCGGTTTTTGTTCTCAGGCAAGATTTGGATTTGTTTTGTTTTCTGTTGCAATCCCTATGGTTGTTTTGATTCAGATTTTGTTTTCAAATAAGATAATCCGGTAATCCTAATGTATTGTTCTAATGGTCATTCACTAACCAAGAGCTGATACTTATTCTGTAGCCTGAAACAACATAATGGTGAACTGAGAGGTGGTGCAAAAGCTTCCCGTGCAGGAAGGCCATGGGTTTGTGCATGCATCATTCGTGGATTTAAGGATAAAAGTGAAGGTATTTGTTTAACATAAATTATAACAATAAGAGACTAGGGGTGACCTCCATTTTTCCTTATTTTGAGAGGACAAGTATTGTGCGTGCAATGTGGGTGGACATTGGGCGTGGTCTTTTAAAAACTTGCACTCCCACCTGTCCCCCGTCCACTCAGGTGGCAAGGTGTGTGGAAGGCCCTTGTTCAGTCATGCATGGGTTACTTTTGGAATAGTCAGGCATAGGAATCATTCATATATATGTCAGAATTGGCCATGCCTCGTATCAGTCCCAGTATACTCTCCTTCTGGGATGGCTGTAAAATGAATATATTCAAGGGATTCCCAAAATCTTTTTTGCTTGTTTGTTTGCTTTCCCACGTAATAATATGATTATGTATGCATATGTAATGCTACTCTTGGTTTTCCCAATTTTCTTATGCGGCTGGATTGCTTGGCGACTCTGCCCTTCTACAAATTCGCTATGTCCGCTAAATGCAGAAACCAGGACTATTTCTTTGCATAGTCTTTCCAATAAAATTGAACTTTTTGGTTTGGTTTGAGTTTGCTTTATGACATAAAGACCTCTCTTAGCATTGGTAGGTTATTGCTATAGAAGGATTGCAAAACCTGCCAGCCCAGCACCCCACCCCTCCACACACAGATGGGACAAGTGTCTTTGTATTGGTGCTTGAAATTGTGGGAAATTTCACAGAAATGGGAACAGTATCAATAGGACTATTAATTGTGTTTGATTCCTCAATTTAGGGTCGAGGGGGGGACTAAGACAGAGCTGACCTCTTTACATGAAATGTTATCCTTTTAAAAAGGGAAAGTATTGCATGAAATGGGCTTGCCATGATTTTCACTTTCTCATGTAATTTCGCTCCGAGCTATGACTATTTTCTATTATGCACTAAAGTAGTGACCCATAGGGATGACGACGATGCTGTTAGTAATTGTGGAAATTGTCATCGAGACATGCTGGAATAATCATTCTATTTGCACAAAATTAGTCATGTTGGCTTTTCATCACAGGTCAACATTTCTGTTGTCATGCAAGTGATTGAACAGTTCCATAGTAGCAGAATATTGTCGGAAATCAAGTTGATGGCAGTTCTTTCTGATTTTTTTAACTATTATATAGATTCTTCTTCCTGTTTTCTCTGTCACTCTGAAACTTTTTGCACCAGTTGCTCTGTTATATGAGACTTACTGGTTTCATTTTGGTTTATGAGCTTTCGACTAATTTTTTTTTCAGTGGTTGTGGCATCTGATTTACTGACCTATTCCATGATCTCTTCATAGCTTGCAAGCTTGAATCAAAATGGAAAATTTTCTCAAGGAAATCGTCCCGTAAAAGCAAAAATAGTGGGATAGAGAAGCAAGAAGATGGTTCACTTCCTTTACTGGAACACAGACATGCAGCTTTGAATAGAGTCAAAGGTTCGATTAATTGTAGTGACTTAGAAATTGACTGGCAGTTGAATCCTTTTTGATTTGTTCTGTCAGTTGGTTATTTTTCAATAAATTATTCCTTGGTATATTGAATGGATTAAAGATGAAAATGGANGAAATTGACTGGCAGTTGAATCCTTTTTGATTTGTTCTGTCAGTTGGTTATTTTTCTTAATAAATTATTCCTTGGTATATTGAATGGATTAAAGATGAAAATGGATATCATACTGGAAATGTANTTGTTCTGTCAGTTGGTTATTTTTCAATAAATTATTCCTTGGTATATTGAATGGATTAAAGATGAAAATGGATATCATACTGGAAGATGTAATATTCTAACATCACTAAAAATGATCAAATTTATAACTATACATTTCCTTCTATAATTGAGGAATACTTACTGTCAACATAGGATCAAAAAAATCAGTGGAATCCTTGGAATGAGATTACTGTACAGTCCATGATAAGTGGGAAAAATTTACGATGTCTATGGCCTGAAACAACAATTGTCACTTGCCTTTGTTGTTAATGCCTTGTACCCTGTACTTGCGTGTTCAAATTACTTCTGTGGGTTTTTTTTTTTTTGGCTACTTTTTTTCACCCCTAGTGGGGTGTTTGGCTGGTTTGATTGACATTGTGTGTAGATTGATGAAGTTCATGTTTTACGTAGCCCGTGAGTCGAGTGAATTATATCAAATAATGTTTGCTATTATAAATATATTGTATATAGATATGAATGAACTTTAGCCTGTCAATTTAATAGTTGTTAGTATTTGACTCTATAACATCTACTTAGAGTTAATATTATATTTGATAATCATTATGATTTGAGGCCTATAAAAGGTGATCTTCACTACATTGAGAAATACACAAGTTGAAAAGTTATTTCTCTAGCANTATAACATCTACTTAGAGTTAATATTATATTTGATAATCATTATGATTTGAGGCCTATAAAAGGAGATCTTCACTACATTGAGAAATACACAAGTTGAAAAGTTATTTCTCTAGCATATATATATATATATATATATATATATATATATATANAATAGTTGTTAGTATTTGACTCTATAACATCTACTTAGAGTTAATATTATATTTGATAATCATTATGATTTGAGGCCTATAAAAGGTGATCTTCACTACATTGAGAAATACACAAGTTGAAAAGTTATTTCTCTAGCATATATATATATTCTCATTATTCTCTTTGTAGTTTATATAATTCTTTGACTTTCACAATACGTTATCAGCACGAGACTCTATCTCTCTTGTTCTTTCTCTCATAAAAGGGAGATTCAGTTTCAAGTTATACAGAATTGAAAATTTGAGTTTTTGATAATCAATATTATATTCGTTTTGTGATCANACGTTATCAGCACGAGACTCTATCTCTCTTGTTCTTTCTCTCATAAAAGGGAGATTTAGTTTCAAGTTTTACAGAATTGAAATTTTGAGTTTTTGTTGTAGGTGGTAAGTATTACTACTATAATCAATATTATATTTGTTTTGTGTTTANAGCACGAGACTCTATCTCTCTTGTTCTTTCTCTCATAAAAGGGAGATTCAGTTTCAAGTTATACAGAATTGAAAATTTGAGTTTTTGATAATCAATATTATATTCGTTTTGTGATCATTCCTTATATCTATTTTGATTGTAGTTTCACTATCATTGGGGCAACATTGTTTTAATTTTATGAACCAAGCTCCTTCGATAAATTGCACATGATAATACAAGCTCTAGAAGAGACTTGTCTAAATCAATCATATAGGTTCATTGATAATTTATTCTCATCTTTTAGTTTTGTCTATAATGATTTACAAGCATAGATAGATTAATTCAGTAAATATTTCATTGACGAAATATTATATAGNATGAACCAAGCTCCTTCGATAAATTGCACATGATAATACAAGCTCTAGAAGAGACTATCTAAATCAATCTTATAGGTTCATTGATAATTTATTCTCATCTTTTAGTTTTGTCTATAATGATTTACAATCATAGATAGATTAGTTCAGTAAATATTTCATTGACGAAATATTATATGGATAATGTTTTTTGATTCACTAATTATTCACTCAGGTTAAATTGGATCAATTATAAATAAGTTTTTTCTAATCATATTTAGACCATGTCGAACATCACAAAACTTGAGATTGTTGCTCTTGATATTTCATGCAACAACTAACTTTCTTGAATCCTTGAGGCTGAGATCTATTTGACAGTCATGAATTTTGGTGATACTATCAAAAAAAGAAATACCGCATCCTGCAGGATCATGCAAAAATGATATTTATTCGTCATCACTTTTATGAATGATTGAAAAACGAATATCTCACAAAAAAAGATCCACTTGTCTTTTAGGATAAATTAAAGGAACAATATGACCACCAAAAGACCGTTAAAATTTCAAATGCTTGACATGAATGGATACACCTAAGGTTACAAAATTTTAAAAAGGTGACTGATTATAATTTGGCACTATTCAAAATCAACTCACAATTGACACTATGTGAAGAAACAATTACTGATAAAGACATGTTAGAGAAAATATTCTCTACTTTTCATGTCTCTGATGTGCTCCTAGAGCAGCAACATAAAGAGCGTAAGTTCACTAAATACTCTGAACTGATATCATGTATTCTCATGAGTGAACAAAAGAACGAGCTTTTGGTGAAAAGTATGAACCTTGCCTGACCGGTTCTATAGCATTCTTTGAATGCGAATGTTACCTCATATAATGGTCGTGGAGAGAAATGTGATCGTGGTCGAAATGATAATCGATATCGTGGTCATAATAATACACCTTACCACAAGAAGTGTGCAAACAAAGATGCAAAGGAACATAAAAAAGAAGGGTTTACTGAATAAACCGTCCAAGAACTATGAAGAAGTTTGTCATAGGTGTGGTATGAAAGGACATTAGTCACGTATCTGTCATACGTCCATCCATAAAGGCAAAAGGAAAGAATATATAAATAAATTTCATTGATCATCGTGAACCAATGGATCTTACTTGTCTTGATGTTTCTATATCGTTTAGTGTTATTTTCCTCATCTTATTATCTTTTTTAAGTTGTTACGCATGAATTTTTAATTTTTTTGATGTTTTATTTCAATTTAAGTGTATTGTGACTTTGTTTTTATGAATGAAAAGTAATTAACCTTATTTACTAACTGTTCAGTTCTTAAATGAATGGTGAAGATGTATATCTAGTAGGCAGTGCATAACTTGTACAATTCTTTGACATAAAAGATTTTTCTCCAACTTAACATTAATCGAAGTTAATATAAGTACAATATTATATTCTAAAAACATGATTGAAAGTTTCAGAAGAGCTATTATCATGTTACCAAATTGAACAAAAATTCATATCAACGACACTATATATTTAGTCAAATCCAGAAGAAATCTATGAAATTTCAAAGCTATATGTCATAATGAATTTCATATTGAGAATATGAATGATAATAGTGGAAAATATTTTTATATTACTTTAATTATTTTTGGCCCGAGGCTTATCTTAGAGAAATTTCCTACTTTCTCCTCTGGGTTGTATTATACAACCATAAAAACAATTGAATCAAACAATGTGATGAGGCAGAAGCTCTCTAATCCAGAGACTTTT